AACAAAAATTAAAAAATAAAAAAAAAAAGTCAAAAACCATTGAATTGATCAACGGGTTGACAGTTCAACCACTCGGGTCAATGGGTCGTGACCGATTCAACGGTTTTTGGCCAAGGACCGGGATTGGGGTAAAACAGAACTGATTGCCTGAACGGTTTCCAATTAAAAAAGAAAAAAAGGACGACCCATTCTGACAACAAAAATTACAAGTAGAAAATTTAGTGTATGAGGTCCATTAAGCAATACCATATGTGTTATTCGAGCGTGTGACTCATACGACCTGAAAATGGAACTGTTCTGGCCACTGGTTTTCGGGTCAACGGTTTGACTGTTCAGATAAAACGGAACCAATTGCCTAGATGGTTTCCGATTAAAAAATAAAATAACGGCCAAAAACCATTGAATAGGTCAATAGGTCGATGATTCGACTGTTCGGATCAATGAGTCATTGACCGATTCAACGGTTTTTGGCCAGGACCAGATCAATAGATCACGTTTCCATTCCAACCCCTATTACCATTCAATATATTGTATCATAAATTTAATCATTCAATTTTCTACAAAGTATTGACAAGATTCAACATCAATTTTGGTGGTCCTCTGGTCAATCTAGGAAGCAAAAGGCCCATTCGTGCTCTTGGGATCGATTACGCCTTACTAAATCTGAAGGTGGCTTATCATTTCATAAAACTGCTGTGTTTAATCAGGCATTGATTTGTCACTAAAGTTTGGAAAGAGTATAAATACAAATATATACAATATAAATACATACAAAATAATACAAAATTCAAGGTTTTACGCACTACAAATTTGTATTTCTACTTCTTCCAAACTGAGCCTAAGACGGTATAAATACAAATATGTAGAGCGTAAAACCTTTTTTTTAGTTGTATTCTTTCCAAACTGAACCTACTGAATCTTCACTTTGGACTAGACTTTGGATGGCTAAATATCTGAACAAGGATAAGTTTCCTTGGAGAGTAGTGTCTAATGGGTCTGTTCTTTGGGAATCTGTTGCAAATTTGTTGGTCAATTTTTGTAATGATCAATTAGGTTATTTGGTGAAGCGAATGATCTGGAGCAAGGTTACCATGGTTTCAGACTGATATGTTTCTCTGTTCCTTGGGGTCCCCCAAAATTTTTCCTAAATGTGTAGCTAGATTAAGGATCTCATGGATGAGATTCTACTTGGGATGATTCTAAGTTGTCTCTTTTTCTCACCAGACATGGTTGAACAGAATAGGTTCTTGTCATGTAAATAGGAAGTTTAATACTGCAGCAAATGAGATGGCCGGTATCCTAAGCTTCTAGATGCTGATGTTGTTTTTACTTGGTCACCTAACTGGTTTATGGAAACTTGTGTTTTTTTTTTCTATCAATTGAAATAATATAGCTAGTTTATGCACCAAATAAATAATAATTCAATTTTACTTCAGGACTCGGAAGAATATATTAGAGTGAAGGGTAGGACGTAGAACCATAAATATCTTGCACATCATGGACAGTTTTGCAAGATTGTTTATGCTATGTGCCTCTGATATTGAAATTCATAAGACTGCTTTTCATTTCAATCTCAACCAATCTCTCACAATTTATTATTTAATCAGTTAATCCGGATTTGTTAGAACTATCACTGTAATACTTTCTTTAGAAATAGAATTTTTCAATAAAATAATAACTTAAATAAAACTTTTCTAGGTTATAGATATGTTAGAAAGCACAAAGGTTTATAAAGTATGTGTTTGGTTTCGTTTATGTTTATTGAATAAATGTTTGTACTTTATTTGCCGGTAAAATCAAGAAATGCAATAATTGCAACCGTTTATAACAAGTAAGCGCCACCAGGCTCCACATCAATGTAACAGTGAAAAAACGTCTCGCCGTTTATGGAAGTTTTTAAAAATAATTTCCATTAACGGCTGGTGTACATATAAACCAAAGTTGACTTTTTTTTTATTTTCGATGCATGCAGAAGAATAAGAGAGAGAAAATACTGAAGTGGCACTTATTTGGCACCCTCAATAAACATTTACTGAATAAATGTAAATAAAACCAAACACCCTCAAAGTTTCTCTTCAGTTTATGAACACCCAAGATTGACACATATCAGTAAACTTCGTTTCATGAGCACCCTAGACGATTGTCATAATTGTAATGGTGTTACATTGGTACATTGAATGTTAGCAATTAAAGTCCTTGGAATAAGCATTTGTTCTCTCTCTCTCTCTCTCTCTCTATATATATATATAATTGGGTATTTAAATTGCCATGTTGTTATTATTAAAAAATGTAATATATAGTGTTCTTTCATTCATCAAAAAAATATATAGTATTCTTTCGTTTTTTAAATTTTTTAAATACACCACATCAAAATAGTGATTCAAAGAAACATTCCAAATGGTGATTGGCGAATCATTCTGGCTGAAATCCCATGGGTGATGCCCTGATGGGTGATAACTAGGCCTTGCCAAACGCAATTTCATTCTTAATTCCACCTAAGTGCTGATACAACAAGGGAACAGGGATGTCAGATTTGACATGAGTTTGGCTCAAACCGAACCCCACCGGTCTAAAATGTAAAATGAATATGGAATATGAAGTCTATCTATAGTTCTATACTCAACTGATGCTAATATTTATAAGGAAATTTTTCTTAAACTACCCTTATGTTTTAGTCAATATTTATAAGGAAATTTTTCTTAAACTACCCTTATGTTTTAGTTAATTGACTAACTCTATCCTTACTGTTTATTTAACTATTGTCTTTCACTACTCCTACTATTTCTGACAATTGTCTAAAACTTTCCTTACCATTAATGTTCCGTCATAAACCATTGACCATTCATATGTGACATCACATGACTGTTATATTTTTGAAAATCCCTAACTTACCCTTTTATAATAGAAAATGCCCTTTTCAGTTTGGGCAAGACGATTCTGCCATAAAATGCTATATGGATCGTTGTTGGCACAACAAATTTTGCCGGACCGATTTATGGGAAACATGGAGGATCACCATCGTCAGCACCGCTCCAATTTCTAGGAAAATGGCTGACAAATGCTATGACAATAGGAGTAATAAAATCTTGTTGTGGTTGTTGCTGTTACTAACACTGCTGCTTTCCCTATCAGTTTTCTCCAAATAGAGCTGCAGGTCGAGGTTTCTCTCCCTATTCACAATCGGCTTCTGTGAACTTAGTCATCGAATTAAGATCCCTCGTTAAGCTTCATCAAGCTCTCCCTCACTTTCCCTCTCATCTTTTTCTTATTTATCAATGTGATGAAATTGCTAAGAAATCGCTAGTAATTCCTTCTTGGAACCACGCTTGGTTTATTTTTGCCAGTGACCAGATAAAGCTAGTCCCTTTTAGTTCATGTTTTGCAATTTTTAAGATTTTTAACATTTTCATATCTCATATTTGATTGTGATGCACCTCAGTCTAGAAATGGCAATGGGGCGGGGCACCCCCTCCCCATCCCCGCCCCAAAGTCAAGATACTTTGCCCCGTCCCCAGTGGCGGGGTGGGACCTCCACTCCCATTTGGGGATGAGTAATCCCCAAATTTTTCTCGCTCCAAAGTAATTTCTTAAAAATTATTTATTTTATGAACAATTTACACATTTAATATAGGAATTTGGGGATATTTTAGGAATTGAATTATAATAATTTAGGGGTACTTCAAAAATGGAATTATAGGATTCTAGGATTTTAAGAATTTAGGCTGAGTTTGGAAGGAATACAAATGCAAATATGTAGAGTGCAAAACCTTATATTTTGTATGTATTTACGCTGTACATATTTGCATTTGTACTTTTTCCAAACTGAACATTGGGGAAAACTTAGAGATATTTTAAATATCAATATCAAACCTAGAGATATTTTATTAATTTTACCTTCGGGTTCAAGGCAGGTTCAAGGAATTATATACAAACTCGTCCCCACCCCATCTCCAATTCGGGGATAAAATATTTTCCTCGTCCCCACCCCATCCCCCTTTAGGGTCGGAGAAAACCTGCCCTGTTCAAGGCAGGGCCCTGGTTTTACGGGAAAAATTGCAATCCCTACTCAGTCCCAAGGCGTGATTTTGAGGAAGAATTGCATCTCTAGAAGAAGAAAGGACCCCTCTCTTCTTTTTGCTATCATCATTGGCTTTGGGTTCCTCTCAAGCTGCTGCAGTTATAGGTCATCTTCAAAACCACTCCAATCTGAGTCAAATAAGACAGACCAATACTAACTCGGAATCAAAGCCCTTGACTAAATAATCAGAAAATCGGGATGTAATTCAGACGAGAGAGCATGAGTGCGATAGATCTATAATGCTATTTTGAGCATCGTACATTGCTGTAATGGAGACGAAAAACAGAAATGGAGACACAGAAACAGAAAACGAAGGCAGAAACAGAAAACAGGGACAGGCAAAAACGAAGACAGGAACAGAGACGAAGATGGAGCAGCAATCTACTTCCTATCTTTCTGAAATTTTTCATCCATTGGGTTTTATTTTAAAAATTTAAGGAATAGTGAAAGACAAATTTGAAAATTTGATTTTTCCATTAGCACTTAAACGATAATATCAATTGTCAAAAACAGTTAAACAGTAAGAATAGAATCAGTCAATTAAACTACACCATAAAAGATAATTTAAGAAACTTACCCTATTTATTAATCTTCCAATCCAATGCTGCAATCAATGTTTTGGCAAGGTCTACCTCAAACTTAAAACGGCCCTGAATCCTACTAAAGTAATAATGCAGGTTTACCACTTAGCCCAACCCACTGACATCTCTTCTTCAATAAAGGGATATGCATCAAACTCAAACTAAAAGGTAAATTCTATTGCTTTATCATCATTAATTGACCAAATTTAATTTAACTTTTTAGTAACTTGGGAGCTCAAACATTAGTTGATACGATACTGATAAAACTATCATGTGCCTGACACGGACAACTGAGGTATCAGCAGGCACCAAGGGAATAACAGCACCAAAAATACGAGAACTTAAGAGGGAAAAGAATGGCTAAAATAAAGGATAAAGAGAGGAGATCCACATTGTTCGTTGTACATTCATCCAAACAAGAACCACCTTCAACAACAAGTCCCGGGAGAATAGTTGTGTAAGCTTCTTGTTCAGAAGCTAGATAATACAGTTCTTAACAAAAAGAAGTAACAAAAAAAATTAAAATTAAAAAAAAATAAAAACAAAAATACAAAGAAGGCCCTAGACACTACCTGCAAAATGACCGTTTGGAGAGACATCGGAAGAAAATTCTGGCCTCAAAGGGTGGTATGTATGTTATACAGCATATACTGAGAATCCCCCTAGTCCTCTTAAGCGCCAAACTTCATGTAGTCCTTGTATTTAGAGCTTATTCATGCTCCAGTCCTCTCAACACCTTCATATCAATCAATCTTCACAGACGAATAGATTTTCCGGACAAACCAGAAGCATGCATAGAAGCCAATTGTCCCGGTCAAAACAAAAAATGCATACGAAATGATCGACATATATCCAAAATACAGGATGCCTGAAACCAACTTGGTGATTTCCAATTTTGTGAAGAAGTAGAATATCGAGTAGAGGAATAGGTAGAGGGCAGAGGATCCGGATGTCAGATAAGCCCTCCACCACCAATTATAATCTTCACTGCACAGCTGGAAGTAGCAAAGCACGATTGTTATCTCAGCACAGGTGATGAGAAGGATAACAAAGACGATGAAGAGGAACCCAAAGATGTAGTAGAACTGATTCAGCCATATGGATGTCAAGATGAAGAAGAGTTCAATAAAGACAGCACCGAAGGGTAGTATGCCTCCGATTAGTATAGAAAAGGCAGGCTTCATGTACCATGCCTGCTCTGGTATCTGCCTGGGAATCTTGTTTGTCTTCACTGGATCCTCGATTGCTGGCTTTTTGAATCCCAAATAACTACCCACAAAAACCAATGGCACTGATATGCCAAACCATAAAAACACAAGAGCGAACATAGTCCCAAAGGGCACTGCCCCTGAAGATTGCTCCCCCCAAATTAGAGCATTCAGAACAAAGAAGATGGAGAAAAGTATTGCAGGGAACATAAAGGCAGTTTTCAAGGTATTCTTCTTCCACTCCGAGCCTTTGAACATTTTATACAAGCGAGCTGAGGAGTAGCCTCCAAATAAGCCCATGAAAACCCACAAGAGAACCATAGCCGTCATCAGACCCCCTCGGTTTGAAGGTGATAGGAAACCCAACAATGCAAATATCATAGTAACAAGTGTCATTCCAAAGATCTGGACTCCCGTCCCAGCATAAACACAGAGTAGCCCAGAATTGATTGGTGACCTGAAAACATCTCCATGAACAAGTTTCCATCCTGTTTCTTCTTGTGCTTCATCCTGGGTCTCTAACTGATTGTAATTGGCAATATCTCTGTAAAGAGTTCTCATCATAATCATGGCCACCATTCCAGAAAGAAAGAGGACAATCATCAAAGAGTTGATTATGGAGAACCAGTGTATCTGATCATCATTCATGAGAAGGTAGGTGTCCCAACGAGAAGCCCACTTAACTTCGCTAGGCTGCAGAAAGACTAAACTCAGTCCTCAGGGTTATGGAAAGGAGACGGAACAAATCAACATAGGAGCAGCAAGTAGGTACCTTAAAAGAGACCTCATAGGTGAATACAATCTCCTTATCTGCATCAACCTCCTGTGGAACAGTGCCACCTTGAATCATGTTTTTAGTGTTTGGGTTGCACGTTACCAACTGAGGGTTCTTCTCATCCCACTCCTTATACTCATGATTAATACTGTTAAAGAACCAAGTGAGAACAGGAAATAACATGTATAGAATCCAATATGATAACTGGTTTACATTAAGCTGAAATACTTTGGGAATGTAAAAATGGAAGAAATGAATCTGCACATGATGTAAAAGCAACATGCATACTAGTAATACATAGCCAGCACATTAGGACACCTCTGAAGTCTGAACTAATGGTCAACAGTGCATTAAGACAACTAAAAACTGATGAGCTAGTCATGTCAAAACTTGGGAAAACTGAAATTGCATCCCACATATAATAACATGCATCTCAGTAAAATGTAGCCACTAGCCAGTATACTAGGACACCTCTGAAACTAATGGTATTAACCAAGCCATGACTTAAGACACCTGCCAAGACTTGCATCGGACACAACCTCTTGTAAGCCAGTATTATGGAGTTATTGGAATATTGAAAAGCTGAAGTTGGAATTTTGTCAATTATCTTTCAGCCTTTTTGTCAAGTGTCAAACTGGTCTAAATTGTGTGATTTTGGCATTATTAGATATGCTATTCAGCTATATACGCAACAAGACTAGAATCTTGTAAATCTAACAAGTTTGAAGAGATTTATGGGAAGACATCAGTTTTTTTTATCAATAACGCATTCATTAGCAACTTCATTAAATCAGGAAAAAGATGATTACAAAGAAGAAGACAAACACTCTTGTCTTCCACATACAGCTTAAGCACTTAAGAAAAGAAAAGGAAATGGAAACAGTAGTTTACAAATTGGCCCAAAACATTGAGTCCCTTTCTACCCTTTTGTTAGGAACCTGCCTAACTCAGGGCTCTTCGAGGGGCCAACCTCCTGAATTCTTGGAAGGAGAGAGAGAGAGAGAGAGAGAGGGAGAGAGAGAGAGAGAGAGAGAGAGAGAGTTTAATGCTGAAAGAGTTTAATTCTGAAAGAGTCCTCCTTTATTCCTTTTTGGCTCTACTACTTACAGTGTTACAATCTTGACTGTTGCAGCTGTTACAAGTGGATGGCAGTTGTGACAAGTGGCTGCTGATGTGGCCTCTTCTTGTAACTGACTAACTGCCTTCTGTTGATCTGTTCCAACAGTCTTGACAGTCCAATTGGGTGGCAGTTGTTACAAGTGGATGGCGGTTATTACAAGTGGCTGGTTAGTTGAGCTGATGTGGCCTCCTCTTGTAAAACTAACTGCCTTCTGTTGGTCTGTTCCAACAGTCTTGACAATCCCCCCTTCCTTTAGAGCGACCTTGCCCTCAAGGTCTAATGCAGGAAATTTGATTGCAGATCTAAGTAGGAAAATTTGAGTCCATGTGCATGAATATGGGCTGATCTGGGTCTCCTCTTTGCTTTGTCAGTGTTGCAAGACCGATGGGCCTTGGGCCCTTGCATGTCTGCCCTTGTAGATGGACTGTAGAGTTTCCTGATGTGAAGTCCATGGTGAGACGGGCCCAGTCACAGACCACGGGTCCTAGCTCTCTTAACCATTGAATGCCTAGTACCACATCCGCTCCACTGAGATGGAGAGGATATAGGTCCACCGCAAACTGATGACCCTGAATCTTTAGTGGTAGGCTCATGCAAATGCTAATGCAAGAGAGGCTGTTACCGTTGGCCATATGAACCGTAAAGGCTGTTGTTGGCAGAACCGGAAGTCCCATTTTATCTACCAAGACTTGGGTTATGAAGTTAAGGGAGCTGTCACTGTCTATGAGGATTGACACTTGGCGCCCTAGAATCAGCCCTGCAACTCTCATTGTTTGAGGGGACGCAAGTCCCATAAGGGCTTGTAAGGATATTTCAGGCGTGCCATTGGATTGTATTTCCCAACCTGGGTTAGATTCTCCGCAACCGGGGATGTCGTCTTCCTCTTTGGCATCTATTTGGAGGAGAAACGCTTGCTGTTTCTTGCAGTGATGGCCCGGCCCAAATTTCTCTTTGCAGTTGTAACAGAGACCTTTGTCTCTACGGGCTTGCATCTCTGCCTAAGTCAGCCGTTTGAAAAGAACCAGTGGGCTTGGGCCCAGTACTCCTTCCTCCTTGTCTGGTGCTGTTGTCTTTTCTTGCTCCCTTCTTGCTTCTAGACCCCATGGTCGCTGCACCTTTCTTGCTAGACTGAACTCGTCCTCATACAATCCTGCTAGTGTTGCCGCATTGATGACGGAAGTGGGCTGCACCGCCTTCACTTCCAGTCGCAATTCTTCCTTTAGGCCACCAACGAAGCTTCCCACCAGCGCCTTCTCGGTCCATCCTTGGACTCTCACGGCCAGCCTTTCGAACTCCATCTGGTATTCTTTTACTGATCCCACCTGCCGCAGTTTTGCCAAGTTTTCATCAAGATCATCGAACCCCGATGATCCAAAACGGACAGTCATGGCGTCCGTGAAGTCTTCCCAAGTTTGACGGGGGTGCCCCCTTCAGTACCATTGAAACCAGAGGATAGCTTCCCCTTCAAGATGCGCAGAAGCTAGAGCTACCCTATCCTGTCCCGGTGTTTCACGGTAATCAAAATACCTTTCTGCTCTGAGAATCCAGGGGGTTGGGTCGCCGCCTGAGAATATGGGGAAGTCGGTTTTGGCTATTCGTGTTGTCGCCCCTGTTTCTGCGACTGTTTTCATTGTTGCGCTCTTCGGGGCTTCCACTGTCAATGTTTGTTGCCCCCTGCTCCTGTCGATGGAGGAGAGCAATGAAGCTTTCCTTCATTTCTTTGAGATCTGAAGACATTCGATGGATCTCAACTTCCATCTGATCCACTTGGGTGTCTACTGATGTGTTTCTTGTGTTGGTCATGCTGGCTCTGATACCAAATTGTTAGGAACCTGCCTAACTCAGGGCTCTTCGAGGGGCCAACCTCCTGAATTCTTGGAAGGAGAGAGAGAGAGAGAGTTTAATGCTGAAAGAGTTTAATTCTGAAAGAGTCCTCCTTTATTCCTTTTTGGCTCTACTACTTATAGTGTTACAATCTTGACTGTTACAGCTGTTACAAGTGGATGGCAGTTGTGACAAGTGGCTGCTGATGTGGCCTCTTCTTGTAACTGACTAATTGCCTTCTGTTGGTTTGTTCCAACAATCTTGACAGTTCAATTGGGTGGCAATTGTTACAAGTGGATGGCAGTTATTACAAGTGGCTGGTTAGTTGAGCTGATGTGGCCTCCTCTTGTAAAACTAACTAATTGCCTTATGTTGGTCTGTTCCAACAGTCTTGACACCTTTGTTTAGTTATTCCATCAGCCAAGGAATTAGCCGATCTTTGAACCCACCTCATCTTTACTTCCATCTCCCTCACCAGCCACTTAAACTTTTTCCTCTCATTATTGTAATTCCATAGGCTACTGTTATCTTTATTCAGCCACCCTATTACCACCTCCGAGTCCCCTTCAATTATGATTTTGCTGATATTCATCTCCTTGGCTTTCTGGATCTCTTCCATAACTGCATAAATCTTAGCTCTAAGGGAGTCCCCCACTCCAATTGGGCCTGAGTATAATGCAGAAATGACCCCATTCTCATCTCTGAAAACACCTTCAATCCCTAACTGTCCAGGGTTCCCTCTACTACTGCCATCAAAATTCAGTTTTAAGAATCCAGCAGGTGAGGGGGTCCAAGGCACACTCATTGCTGATTTGCTCTGTGAACAGTTTGCAATTTCTCTCCACTTCCTCAGCATGTCATCCACTGTGTAATCTGTAAAATAGCATTAAGGATTTCAGCCACTGTACGGCCCTAATATGAATTGTGGCCCTCAGTTCATTAGCCCCCCTCTCGACTTCTGAAAAGATCCTGGAGTTTCTTTCTTCCCATAGTGACCAACATACTACAGCCCTCAGTCCCCTTCACATAATCTTTCCTCTTTTCACTCTCCACCTGAAAAAAAGAAGGGGAGAATAGACTCGGAATGTTTGATGGGGGATTCCAGCCACACCCAAAGAGAGAAAAGGCCCACTCCCAAACAAACTTTGCATATTGGCAAGATACCAGTAAGTGGAAGCCAGTTTCCCCCTCCACTTTGCAAAGAACACACCAATGAGGAGACAAGTAAGCATTGGGTCTCTTTTTTTAGAGCAAATCACCAGTGTTAATTCTTTCTAGATAGGCTTCCCAACAAAAACTACCAACCCTGGGAGGGATTGGTCTGCACCAAACCTCCTTAACCGTGAAAGGGGGGGTAACAAGATCAGTGGACTGGCTTAAAACTTTAAAGAATGAAGCACAAGAAAAAGAGCCAGTTGGGGTAGGGGTCCAAATTCTAGAGTCCATGTTTGAGGGGTCTAAGAAGACATTATCAAGGAGATCAAGGAGGCTCGAGATACTGTCGAGGTCTAAGTCCCTCACAGCCCTTCTCAAACCCAGGTTCCACCCAGGCCCAGAATTGACTTAAGGTCCGAAAGAGAATACAAAGAAGGAAACTGATCTTTTAAAGGTACAGTCCCCACCCAAATCTGTTCCACTTTTTAGTACCTTATCAGAGCTTCTTTACCAACCATGTATACCCTAGCAAGACTCCTCTATATTCCTATCTTTAATTGTTGAAGAGTTTTATATATTATAATATAACTGAATGGTATCACCATCATCATTATCATCTAAGCCTTATCCCAACTATATGAGGTAAGCTACATGTACATGGATCCTTGTGAACAGATAGTAACTTAAGATTAACAGAAAAGTACGGACAGGCCCACTGCAGAATTCTGATTACCACTGCAGACCTACGACATTTCAAAATGCTAATTACCCCCACCCTATACACCAATGCCTTGCCCGTGAATTGGCATCAATTCCAATCTGGCACCTACCCTAACTGTACGTTGGGCCGATGAATTCTGCTGCTGGGCTGAACCGTCATTCTCCCTAAGATTAATGGGTTAACAAAGTCAAAACAATAGTTTGTTCTAAACAGGCTGCATATTTTCCAGAAACAGCTACTGTATCAAGAATTATCAGCTGGGAACTATGGTCATCATAAAAGTATAAAAATGCCATAAAATTGCAAAATTGATAACAGAAAAGAAGTGAGAAAGGCACAACACCTATTAGGTGTGACCTCAAATCCAACAATACGAGCTGAATTGGTCTCAGGATCCTCATGATATATGACCCTGAAGCTGAGGTGGTTATTGATAAAATGTTTCTCATCTTTACTCTGCAAAGGCATATTAAAATGTAAACCAAAAAAAAAAGGTACAAGAATTAGAAGTTGTGAAAAGAACATGTGCAACTTACACCAGCATAGTTTCCCTTGAACCCAACACGGTACCCATGTTCATAACTTGTAGCTGGTGTTCCATCCCTCCTTTGTCGAAGAACTGCAACAGGAAGGTTGTCCAAAATCCTGTTCAAACATCAAGTAGATGTCCACTAAGTATACTTGGATATTAACAAAAATATATCATTCAGCTAAACCTCATGGTCATTTTACCAAAAAAGAAAGGACCAATAGAACTATATTGTGGTAAAAGTTCTGCAGAGGAACCAAAATACAAACAATCATACAAACAAAACGGATGACAACTAATAGGTAAAAGACCATCACAAACTGGTGAACTTACATGTTTACTCGATATTCATCATTTATTTTCTCCTTAAAGTTCTTTGCAGCTCCAGCATCAAGTTTTACTCGACAGGCTACTTTACAGGACTCTTCCTCTCTCATTTTGAACTGGAGCACATGTGATACTTTTTTATCAACAAAAAACAAAAAAAAAAAATAGCATGTGAAAGTTAAAAAGTAAAGCATTAGGATAGAGATAAGTTTCCCATTATACACTACAAAGTGAAAGACCAACTCTTTTTAGAATGGAAGCAACAGAAAAAAACAAAGCAAAAGCCTCACCGTATAGACAGAATTCTCTATGCGGTCACCTCGAAGAACCTCTCCCAAATTTTCTGCGCTGTTCATAATCTTTTTAGGCTTACAGTACTTCAGGAAATAGTAATCATAAGGAAGTTGTGTCTTTGTGGATGAGAGCTTGTTCACTTTGACATAAAGGGGATCACCCTGTGTGAAGGCAGGACAACCATGAAACCAATATCACAAATTGAACAGAAATTAGCTTAAAGAGCAAACAAACTATCAAATGCTTGAACATATATAATGTAAACAAAAATTTATCAATATATATATATATATGTAAACAATTAAGTTCATACAGCAAGCCCTCCCCAGACAGACAAATATGGAGTATAAATCAGGTCAGTCAAAAATGTCAATCAAATATATGAGCAATGCTAGCCATGCCCGTCCACAGACATACCAGCACAACCACCATCATCCCCAAGGAGTAGTCATATACTTGGTCCATTACATTGTTCCTCCTAGTCAGTGATGTAGACGACCATATGACCATGAAAATATATGGCTAGATTTGTTTCAAATATATTGTCAAAACAAAACAATACTAAGTTTAATGTTCATCTAGTTATTAACAATTTCAGACTTGCAACAGTCTAGCAGAATCTCTTGCTTTAGGTGGTGCATGAAGACGTTGTATAAACACTTCAATACCAGGAACTAGCCTCTAAACTTTCTTGTCTTATTGTTAAGAAATAAAAAGGTTTGCAATTAAATATGCAAACTTTAATGACATGATTATTGAGAAGGAAGCTCGGTAGAGGTCAAATACAGATAGAGTATACAACTGAATGATCCCAAAACAACAACCAAGATCCAAACGACTGAATTGAAGTTAATCCATCAATTTTCAAGAGAGAGGTTCAAAGAAAGGATGCAATAATCACGCAAAACTACAGACTGAAGCCTCTAATGTTCAAATCTGCCGCCACATCCACGCACTGGAATCCAATCAAAGATCTAAGGTTTCTACTACATCATATCATCCGGTTAGAATGTTCAATGAAACATACAACTATAAAACTCCAGATCCAGAAAACTAAGACAGACCAACCAACGTATTAAAACCCAAAACCCTAGATCCAGAACCATGTCAGACAAAGACAAACATCCCCAATCAACAGAAAGTTGAAAGAAGCGACCAAAAACAACAAACAAGTAACCAAGACTTAGGCGAACTAAGATCTGGCCAACATTAAAGGAAACCAGTTAAAATTCACTGGACGATAAACAAAAGGTGATTAAAGAACATACCCTTGAGAAATCGCGAGGAGCAACACCTGGGAGATAAAACGAATGCGCAGAAGAAATGAGGAGAAGGGCGAGGAAGAAGGTGGTGATCCACACGGATCTACCCATCTTCTGTCTCGAAGGAAGAAACAGCAACAGAAAACCAGGAGAAGAGCAACAGATGAGAACTCACGAAAAATACAGCTTTCTTCTTTTGCTTCTTCAAGACTACGAGACTTAGAGAGAGAGAGAGAGATGGTATTTTTATCAAGTAAATTTGGTGGAATTAATTCTAAGCAAGGATTATGATAGAGAGTTTGGCGAGCAGTACCCCCCTCCCCCATCTGAATCATTTCGACCGGTGGGACATGTCTTAGACATTACATCGTTACCGTTCATTTTTCCTAGATCAGACGACGATTATGGATTTCCAACCAGTCACCATTTTTTGGGTGATGCTTGATTTCGAAGGGAACAGGGAAGAAAGAAGAGCCCATCTAATTGCGGAATCCATTGTCAATTGCTACTTTTAAGTTTTAACACAAAGAAAGAAAGCCCATCGAGCCCAAAAAGACGCACGTGCTCATTTGCATTCAAATGAAGAAAATGGGTGGAGTGAGTAGCTTTGCGTGTTTCTTCTCACTTCGAATTTAACAAAAACTTAATGTTGGGCCCATTGAAAGATGTGAGCTGGCCCAGTCGTAAGATTTCCGATCTACAATCTCCCATTATCCTTTTGAGTTGGGGGGGCTTAACTCCTTATGGGTTAGCGAGATGGGTTATCCTGTGAGCTCTGGGTAGGTGTAGACCTAAGTACGTCGGTCCAACCATGGCCCACTTAGAGGGAGAAAGAGCTTACAAAGGCAATCTGTGAATCTCCCTAAAAAGCCAAAGCCACTCATCTATTTGCAAATTACAATCAGTCAATCTTCCACACCGATTGCTTCGCTATATTCATCAGACTTCGAGTTCATTGGATCACAACCTTTCAGATTGAGGTCCATTGGATCGAGTACAAATCATTGATACAATTTTCGCATTTTGAAATATATTTCAAGTGCAATGAATTGGCGCCGATACTAATGAAAATAAATTTTTATACTAAATGAATTTGGTAAGAATAAATTTTAATACTGAATGAAAATAAATTTATTTTTTAACTGTTTTTTGCACTCAAAGTTAGTAAATCAATGTAAAGTAGTCCGGTTCCAAGCTCCAACCCTGAGATTTGCCTTTGCAGCCATCACAACCAAACAAGACACTAAATGTATAAGTGCAAAACCGAACCAGGTTTGAATCATTTATTTGAAGAAAAAACATTGCATTCACTTTTTGCTCTCTACCAAATAAAACCTTGAATACAAAATTAAATATATGGATAACTGCTTTAAAATCAGGAAATCTTGATACAAAATAGGATTAAAAATATTATAAAATATATCTAATAGTAAAAAGGAATGAAAATTAAATTATCCAAAAAATGGGAGGGTCATTGAGATGGAAATCTTGAAATCAAGATTCAAAGTTTTCTTACTGTCCATACCCAAAATTCACATATCCAGAGTATACCTAAGTTATGACAAAGAGGAATGGCGAGTTGGACAATGACATTTCATCTGGTAAGGCTTTCTTGAGTTTACCTATCCAGAGTATACCCAAAATTCACATATCCAGAGTATACCTATAGTTGGGATAAGGCTTTCTTGAGTTTAGTCGAGTTGGACAATGACATGTCATCAGGTAAACTTCTCCCTTAATCTGCAATCAAGAATGCAATCCAAACAAAAACTACAACTTACAAGCATGTCCTACGGACAACTGTAGAGCATTTATCAGAAACCGAGAGCCAGACTGCAAATCCATGTACTAGTCTAAACTATAAACTCTAAAGGGAGTATAATGCAATCTTAGAATAGAACAAAGATCATGTAATAATTATAGATGGTAAACCAAATCGAAATACTGATCGATAACCAAACTCGTTGTACCTAAGAGACAACAGTTACCAAAATACACCTAAAGTACTAGAGCATTTCCATCATCTCTATTAGGAAGGAAAATCAAGGAGTTTCCCATAAAGATGGTGCCTTCCCCATTGACCAACAATGTTAATGCGTTGCAGCCCCAAGGTTTTTTAGCAACCATCTCAAGATTTTGATGAACAACTGAGTATGTGTGATTTGAACTTCTCGAGCTCAGCCAAGACCTCTTCTTCTGGCCTGTAAATCAGATCACTCATCCGCCATATCTGCATTAAACATCTTTAAATCAGCAAGGAAAGACTGGAAAGAACAAACTTAAGCAATAGCAATTTAAAACAGAACATAAATCAGAAAGCTTTAAAATTTGATATCAAATTTTGGGTCCAACTGTCAAACAGGAAGTCGGGATGAGTACTTTTGGCAAGGCCATGAACAAAATGTCAGAACTACCTATTTTGAGAAGTCAGATGATATCATGATAACAAGGGCCACTAATTGGTGCAATTGTAAAAGCTTGGGCAGGCAAGCGTGAGAATGTAGGTTTGAGCCTGAAAGCGGCCACAACATTGGGTAACAGCCATTTTAGACGAGGGATGACAGAAGAGTAGAAAAATTGCGAAGTTTACTTCCTGTGTGTTTCTAATTAAGGCATGTACTTTCCCAATTCCATTCATGAATAAATGAGTAAAGCATTTAATATACTAAATTATAATCTGCACTTTGAACCTATTTGAATTCACTTCTCTAACTCATCACAAAACAAGTCCAAAACAATACATTGACCAGAAATACTTGCATCCATGCTTAAAGGTTGCAAATTTGGGACAGACCATTTCCATATGGAAAACGACAAATTATGGAAAAAAGAATACATCTCTTACCTGTAGTGTCCCACCTCCACCAGTACTTTCACAATCATCAGATACACTAACTATTGTCCACGGATCAGATGCATTCCAATGAAAATCAACAACTTTATCCCTGCATATACACATAAAGGAAGCAATTAGTTATTACATGATAGATTATTGGAGAGTGAGATAGAGAGAGAGAGAGAGCAACAGAAGAAGCCAAGATCTCCAACATAACATGAACAGAAAATCAGCACTAGTAAAGAAAAAGTAGTCACAAAGGACCATGACATGTGAAGCTTTTCAATGGTCATATAAAGTCTAGAACTCCGAACTTTAGGCCCATCAGCCTTATAGGAAGCCTCAATGATTTAAAATGCGTGCCTGAGGCACAAGGCGAGGCGCATTCCAGAGTAGGCGACTCGCATGGGTCAAGGCAGACAGACTTTAGAAAGCGCTCGCCTCTACACCTAAGGCATGCACCTCAAGCCAAGCGCCAGGCAGTCCAGGCAAGCACCTATTTAGGTTGTCCATTGTTTTTTACTTAATTTTATACATTATTATAATTGTATATAAATTATTTATTTTCTTTTTTATGTACCAAAATATTGGGATATGGTAGGCAAATTTGAAAGAGAGAATACACAACCCATATCGAGAGAGCAAGCTTGCCATGTAATGCTTTCACCCAAATCGTCTCAGATTCTCACTCTCCCAATCTCAGTCGAAGTCTAGAATGGCAAGTTCAGAGCCCCTCAGCCCCAGATTCTTCTTGGATCATCAAAGTTCAGGCCACCTTCGAAGTTCGATCATCAGGAGGTCATCTCTCAGTCTCAGTCGTCTCAGTCGAACGACAACTACAGAGTCTTCAGGCCTTCACCAGTTTGGCACAGAAAAACAGGGGCTCCGCCCAATCTTTTTTTTCCAAATATTTCTTCTTCTTCTTCTTCTTCACAAAAAAACAAGGGCTCTGCCCAATCTTTTTTTTCCAAATATTTCTTCACTTTTTGCACTGAAAACAGGGGTTCCGCCCGCCCCCTTCTTCTTACGTTGGAACTGCTTTACACTAAAACAGGGGCTCCGCCCCCTTGCACTTTTTTACACTAAAACATGGACTTCGCCCCCTTCTTACGCTGGAACTGTTTTACACTAAAACAGGAACAGGCGCTCCGCCCCACTGTCGCACAATGTCTTCATATAAAAACAGTAAAACAGGGCTCCACCCCATTCTTTTTTTTTTCAGTTTTTTTCTTTATTTCTTTCTTCCCCTACTTTCTTCTTCTTCTCTTTTTTTCCATTCATTTTTTACACGAAAACAGGGCTCCCAAATCTGTCCCAGAAGTGAATGGACTATGGAGTACCTTCAAATGGACTTTCAAATATGTCTGAACTTCTGTTTCAGTTCAGTTCAGTTTTGCACTTTTGTTGCATATTTTCTGAACTTCTAGTTACAGAATACAGATTGAAGTAGTGAACCTTCAATAAAAATGAAAGAAAGAAATTAAGCATTAGGGATTGCTGATTTTTATTTCCTTGGTTAGCTATGTTAGTTGATTTGTTTTTGTTTCATTCTATACTTTTATTTTGATTGATTATTAAATATCAATTTAGTTTTCCTCTTTTCTTGTACAACTAGATATGGATGAGGGCAATACTTCTCATGAAATTAGTATGAGAGATCCAGCATGGAAGTATTGCTCTCTACAAGACCCTAATAAGACAAACTCAGTCACTTGCAAGTTCTGTGAAAAAGTGACTAATGGAAGAATCTATAGGACAAAAGGATGTACCAAGTGCCTAAAAAAGTCTGGGAAGAAATTTTGGCATATATGCAAAAGAAAAGAACGGTAAAAGAGAACATGATAATGGAAAAAATGGATAGGATCCTTGAATTTGATGAGCATGAGAATATGATTGAAATTGAAGAAGATGATGTATAAGTTTGTGGTGTTGGTGGTAGTTCTAATTCATGTCCTAGGCCTTTTACATCCACCGGATCAAGTTCCAAGCCACCCATTAAAAGACAAAAAGTGTCTATGCATAAGTTTTTTACAACACCTAGTCCGAAACAAATTGTAGAGACGAGTAGGGAACAAAAAATAATGAAACAAACCACCATCAGTGAAACATATAATAAAGAATGATCAAGTTTGTATACATATTGTTAAATAGTTATATCAAGCAAGTACTCCCTTAAATACCATTCGCTTGAAAAGCTTTGAAGCTATGGTGGAAGCAATTGGGCAATTTGGGCCTGGACTAAAGATGCCAAGCTATTATGAAACGAGGGTTTCTTTCTTTAAAAAGTAGGTTGATTACACGAAGACATTATTGCAGCATCATAAGAAGGCATGGGAAAGGTGGGAGCGTTCTCTAATGTTTAATGGATTGACCAAAGAAATGATAGAACCCTAATCAATATTTTGGTCCATAGCCGTGCTGGGACGATGTTCATAGAAAGCATCGATGCATTGGATGATAATAAAAACTGCTGAGATATTGTTTAATTTACTTGAGAAGATGAGTGAGAGGATTGGTGAAAAGAATGCCATTCAAGTGATTACCGATAATGCTTCAAACTATGTTTTGGTAGGTAAATTTTCTAACTTGTTTGTTTTCTTTACAACTTTTACTTAGTTTTTATTGTCTTGGAAACCATGTGTTGCCCATTGTATGGATCTTATTCTAGAAGACATTGGCAAGTTACTTATTGTCAAGAGGACTATTGAGAAGGCTATAGCACTAACAGGACACATATACAACCATCCAGGCCTATTGAACTTAATGAGAAAGTTTACAAGTCAAAGGGAATTGATTAGGCCGACCAAAACCCGCTTTGCTACTTCCTATCTTACATTACAAAGCACTTTTAAGCAAAAGAGGAACATGAGGGAGATGTTCAATTCTATTGAGTAGAGTGATAGCAAGTGGGCAAAGGAAGCCCAGGGTGTAAAGGTTGCAGAGACAACAATGATGCCTTCATTTTGGAATAACATTGTATATAATCTTAAGGTGTGCAGCCCTCTTGATCGTGTCTTATGCTTGGTAGATCATGAAAACAAGCCGGCTATGGGTTACATCTACGAGGCTGTTGATAGAAGAAAGAAAGCAATTCAGAAGGCATTTGATGGTAAAAGGGAAAAGATCTCAGAATTTTTTTGTGTTTAGTTATTTTAATAATTGCTATTTTTATTTAATCAATTTGCTAATTTAGTTAATATTTATATTTTTCAGCTGATTGGTGGACAGCATTTGGTGCTTCAGCTCCAAATCTACAAAAAAATGCTATCAAAATTCTTAGTTTAACATACAGTGCATCTGGTTGCGAGCAGAACTGGAGTGTGTTTGAGCATGTATGCCTTTAATAAATTTACTTGTGTAATAATTTATCTTATATTTATATTTTACATTTAAATTTCAAAGTTTTTTAGTAATTCAATGCCATTTTATGAATTCACAGATTCATACTAAAAAGAGGATCGCTTGGATCAAAAGCGATTAAATGATTTGATGTTTATTAAGTTCAACCAGATGCTGAAAGAGAGTTCTAATTCACGCAGTTACACCGATCCCATCTCTCTAAAACATAATGATGAGAGTAATGAGTGGTTATTGGGAGAGATGGATGGGGCTAAAGATGATTTGGTGTTTGATGATGGTGATTCATTGACATGGAGAGATGTTGCTCGTGCTTCTAAAGTTGAAGAACCACTAAGATATACAAGATCTAGAGGCTCAAGCTCAACTTCATAGTTACGAGCCAAGTGGCCCAAGGCAACCAATTCCAGAAGACCTAGCACATCAAATTCCTAACTTCATTTGGAAGACGAAAATGAATTTGACATAGAAGAAAAAACAGAAGAAGAGAATATCAATGATTACAAATCTGATGAGTATGAAGATGATATGGAATTTCCAAATGAAGTGGAAAATGATGAGGAAGATTGAATGCTGGAATCTTGAGGAAAGAAGAATCAAGAATGGATGAATGGAGTCAATGGCCATATGAGAATATATGATTTTTAGATTTTGTATAGGCAGTAAACTTGCTTTTTGTATAGGTTGTGCTTTGTGAATGATGATTGATGAAAGAACCTTTGTTTATATTAGAAAATTTATATTGCATATTTAAATACTTAATATATAGCTTGTTTTTTGAAATATTTTTCAAATCTAATTACTTGGTTATTACAATAAATGGTTAATTTTTGTATTGATTTTGTTACGTGTGAGTGTGATAGTGTGAGCCATGGAGAGGATACCGATACCAAGAGGTAAATGTCTTTTAAGTGTTAACTTCATTAATGCTTATTATTTAATGTTGTATAGGTTGTGCTCATATGTCATATTCTTTAATTCTTTTATATTTATATTTTATATTTTTTTATTGAATCATTGAATTTGAATGTGTTATACTGTTTTGTTATTTTTTTGTAGTCTAGCCTCCTTTAATTATTTAATGTTGATTTCTTAATTCTGTACTTATTGCATAATTTCCTAATTAACCAATTGAATCATTGTTGATTGCATATTCTATAATTTTTTTTTAATCTTTTGCACCTTTTTTTAAAAAGGCGTGCATCTCGCCTTGCACCTTGCGCCTCAGGCACATTTGGAACCTGTCGCTTTTTGTGTGCCTTTCGCTTTTAAATCACTAGGAAGCCTTCACAAAATCATCACCAAAGTTCTTTCCTTGAGACTGAATAAAATGTAACCACTCCTAATCTCTCAAAACCAAGGGACCTTCATCTTAAGTAGGCAAATCATGGACCAATCAAATCCTGATAGCCAATCAAAATGTGGAGGAAATGAGAAGAGGGTGTAAGTTTTGGGTTTGCAAACTTGACCTAGAAAAAGCCTATGATTACGCTGTTTGGCCTTTCCTGGACTTGGCCTCGATGAATTATGAATTTGGTGACAAGTGGAGGAAGGGGTTGTACCCAATTTTGTCACTATTCCATCTTGGTCAACAAGGTAGCCAAGGACTTTTTCCCAGCTAGGAGAGGTCCAAGGCAAGGAGACCTTTTATTTCTATTCCTGTTTACCATTTTAGTTTGTCATTAGCCACTTAATCCAGAAAGAAGATTGGTTAGAGTTGTTGAAAGGCTGGCGGATGGGTACGGAAAACCCGGTGGCCTCACACTTACTATTGTCGATGATGACCTATTTTTTTGCCAGGATAGGGAGAAGAGGATGCAAGAAACTTTGAACTTTTTGTGAAGTGTTTTGAAAGGATGGCTAATTTGAAAATAAATTGGGAGAAAAATTGTTTGGTGGGTTTAAACTTAGATGAGAGCATTTCAAGGAGATATGCAGAAATTTTAGGGTGTGCAATTCCTCAGTGGCCTCTGAAATATCCAGGACTTCCACTAGAGGGATATCCTAAGTGCTTTAGCTTTTGGAATCTAGTCATTGACAGGTTTACCAAAAGGCTAGTGGCATGGAAGAAGAACTACATTTCCCTTGGTGGTCAGATTATACCCATAAAATCCACTTTTAGCAATCTCCCAGTTCACTATCTTTAACTGTTTAAAACTCCTGTTGCAATAGTGAAAAGAATTGAGAAAATAATGAGACTTTCTTTGGGCTCTGCTTCACAAGATTGCAAATGTCATTTCAGTGCATATATTTCATCTGGTTCAGTTTCACATGTATTTGGTAAGAGTGTATTTATGTACTGAAAATGACAGCTTGACAAATTTCAAGGCATGTTTCTATTCAAAGTGAGAGCAAAGTTTGCATCCAAAAGATACTATCAAGGCTCAGTTTGGAAGGAATACAAATGCAAATATGTAGAGTACAAAACCTTATATTTTGTATGCATTTGCATTGTGCATATTTGCATTTGTACTCTTTCCAAACTATGCCCAAAAACAAATGTTTGCATCCAGATGGATGCAGACTTTACACTTAAAAGTTGGTTAATGTAAAAAAAAAGGTAGATTTCAGTCTTGGGAATGTGTTTGCACCCATCACAACTAAAAATCATTTGGCAAGAAAGTAAAATTTATCAATGCAAAATTAAACCAACTTTGATTTGCATCAACCAGCATGTTTGTATTTGAACTCTTCCCAAGTGGAAACTTAGGAACCAGGAGAAGGAAAATAGGATCATTTGATTAATTGAAAAACAGTGTGCAACTGTAAGGAGGAACGGGGTTTAGGAATAGGACAAGCAACTTCAAGGAACACTGCCTTTCAGGGTAAATTGCTTTGGAAACTGCTGATAAAAAAAAATGGCTTTAGAGATTCCCCATTGATTTAGCCAAGCTATGGCACCAGGTTATCAAAAGTATTCACAGACAACTTTCTAATGGATGGGATGTTGGGTTTCATGCTAGAGCTTCTCTGTCTTCACCTTGGAAAGCAATTCCAGCTATCTCTTTCCTTTTTTGTCATTTTTCAGGTATGATGTACATTCAAGGTGTAAAACTTCTTTCTGGAAAGACCTTTGATAGGGGGAGCATCCTTCATGATCTTATTTCCCTCATTATATAATACTGTCTCCAACAAAGATTGCTTGGTATCCCATTGTGTTTCTGTTTCCAACAAATGGGCTGCATTGGGACATGGGTTTCAGAAGGGATTAACGGATTGTGAAACGTCAGATGCCATTATTTTATTTAACATCCTAGAAGAAATCCACCTAGATCCAAGCAAACCTGATGAGGGGCTTTGGACTCTAATGATATCCAGATCCTTTCCTTGCAACTCCTTCCTCCATGAGCCTTCTAGCGACCCCTTTCCTCTATAATTCACGCTGTAAATGCCATTTGGAAAGACCCAACTCCGCCCAAAATTAGATCTTTTTGTTGGGAGGTATACCGTGATAAAATTAATGCAATAGAGAATTTACAAAAAAAGGGAAACCTTGGTGGATGCTCTTGCCTTATGTTTGTCTTCTGTGTAAAGAAATTGGTGAAACCTCTTATCATCTACTAATCACATGCAGTTTTGTGTTTTCAATCTGGAATTTCTTTCTCTCCTTATTTGGGAACAGGTAGGACCCACCTTCGGATCTGAAAAGTTTATTCCTCAACTCATTTTTCTCCCCACCAAAGAAAAGGAGAAAGCTATCGTCAAGGTGTATAAGGGCAGCAATCTTGTGGGGTGTGTGGGAAGAAAGGAATAATTGCCTTTTCAAGGAGGAAAAAAGGATCTATTGAAGAACTGAATGACAACATCTCTATTAAAGTAGTGCACTGGGTTAAGCCTTTGGATATCTTCTCAGATTTCAGAACAAACGATATCCTTAGAAACTAAAAGCATGTTGCTAGCTCTGCAACTTGGACAGTAAAACCTGTGGCAAGTTGGGCTCCTCCACCTACAGGATACCTAAAACTTTGATGGGTGTAGCCCAGGCAATTCTGGCCCGTCAGGCATAGGTGGAACAATCAGGGATAAAGATGGCAATATCTTAGAACTCTTCTCAGGTCCTTTGAGAGTAAGAAATTCAATCCAGGCAGAGACTTGGGCAGCATTCACAAGTCTAAGGAGGCTAAAAGCCTCGAATTTGAAGGTGGAAGTGGAAGAAACTCAAGAACAGTCATAGCATGGTTGAAAGGTGATCAAAAAGTGGCTTGGAGCTATAGATATATTTCAGATAGCTGAAAATTTTGATAGAGAACCTGCAAGCATTAGTAATTTGGATTCCAAGGGCAGCCAATGGACTTGCTGATGAATTAGCAAAACAAGGGGTTTCAAGGGATCATTTGTATTGGGGCCATTTTGGTTAAGCTTTTTTTTTTGTGGTTAGCCAAGACTAGCCTCCTTTTTTGAGTTATCCCTTCTTGGCGTACTTATACCTTTTTTCTAATTAAAAAACATTTGCTGTTACTCATCAAAAACATGAAAAAATCAGACAAAATTAGAAAGAAAAAAAAGGCATCAAGCATAAGGTGCTGAATAAAAAATCAGCATGATCAGCTATTCTTCACCATTGTGCATTTGTGTTTGATTTTTTTTTTCATTAACCCAATTATTTCAAACATGAGTTCAGGATTGGTCAACAAAATCATGCAAACATTTTCTTTTTTAAGGAAAACAAGAAAGAAATATAGAAAACCTCGAATATTTCAACTAGAGAACACCAACTCAGATGTTTTTTCAGTCACTAATCCAGATAATTTCAAGCTCAAATACACTAAACAGGCCAACTGTTCATGATGTCAGGGCTCAAAACTATCTCATACAGACAGAAAAAAATAAATAAATAACTTCTAATCATGTATTAGTTAAACACCAACCCTTGTTAATAAACCACAAGCAGATGTATCAAAAGTAGGTTTTCAAAGTTCAAACCTGTGTCCTGCGTGTTGGAAAAATAAGCCTGGTGGAGAATTTGGCATTCTTGCTCCAACACGGTCCTTCTTACCAACCTGAAACGTGGCATTCAAAAGACCTTTAAAACACAATTGTAATTACACTATGAGGAAACATATGAAAAAAGTAAAATATCAGTCAGATATGACACAGATCCCAACCAAGCACAAAGATTTTCCCTTCTAGATCAGCAAGGACAAGTTGAGGATTTTACCAATCAATGTCAATAGTATCAATCTATTGACTTGGAATACATAAGCTCCTTGACTCCATGGTTGCTCTAATTCTCTAAACTCTAAAGCAAAACAAAAGAAAATACGAGAGACTGAAAAACCAGAAGAAATTCCAAAAACCAGTGTTTTCAACCTACCGTTGACCCGGCCGGTTGAACCACTTGAACCACCACCTGGTCAAGATTGCAGGTCCAGTTTGAGTAAAACCCAGAGAAATGCCAAAAACCGTTGACTTTGTCAAAAAAAAGTCCAACCGAGACGATTGGACTGTTGACCCAGTCGACCCGGTGACCGGGTCGCAGATTGCATACTATGTATGCAAACTTCGAGAGACCATAACTTTGCACTCCGAGGTCTGATTGAGGTGATTTTTTTATTTTGGGTAACTTATCGAGACCTATGCATCCCAAGGAGCCATAGGCACCTTGCCCCGCTATTTTCATAAAAAAAAAAAAAAAAAAAAAAAAAAAAAAAAAACAAACTTTTTTGGCCTCAATTTGCAATTTTTAATATTTTTATAAATAAAAAAATTAAAAACTGAATTAAAAAGCATATATTAAATATAAAGTAATACATATATAATATCTAAAACATAATTATACATTATTTATTGATAAAATATGCATTTGTACTTATATATACATATATACACATGTATGTATATATATACTTAATAAATATATATATATGTATATATTTATTAAGGGAACAGAAACAAATGGAATAATCATACCTTCTCATAATCCCAAATGTTTAAGAAACCATCCTCTGCAGAGCTGCCAAAGACAGATGACTTGTCCGGAGACCACTGGGGCATGAATGAAAAGCATGTTCAGGAAACAGAAAACTCCAACTAGCCCTACAAATATGATAACCTTAAAATCAAAAGCAACAAGGAAATGTCAGAATAAAAGGCTTAACCAAAAGTATTGTCCCATACCTGCACACAAAGAACAGCAGCTTTGTGACCTTCAAATTTATAGATAGGCGATCCAACACCACCAGAAGTCAGGTTTCGCCGGTCAAACATGCGAACGGAATTATCAGCCGACCTGAAAAGATTAGAGCAGCAATAGGAAAAAAGTTACAAAAAAGAGCTTCAGAATCTCCATATCTATGGTAATTTTTAAAGTCCAAGATGACACATAATGTGAAACATGATCAACAACAGGACATCAAATTGAACAACAAGCATATGAATACAGATCAATCAAAAATAACAATTGACAAAATCTGATTGGCATCAACAGGATAACCAGTAGAAAACCCAGATTGTGTGCATACCCAGTTAGAATAAGGTTTTCATCATGAGGATTCCAATCAACACAGTGCAAATCAGCATTATGAGCTTTCTCAACCTGACCACCAAGATAAACAACCAACAGAACATTAATATAAAACCCTGCCTAAGGGGAAAATAAGAAGGAAAGCATGAATGTAGCTAACAGAACAGATGTATAAATGGGTTGATCCCATTCAAAAACAAATAAATAAATAGACAACCAGCACCATAGTGATACCAATATTACTGTTAAACAAATTGTTTGCATTCTTACTGCAGTTATACAGAAGAAATCCAGACAACCTGTGGAATAGTGTTTTCTTATCAACAATTAACTAGGCACTAATTTGAAGTATGTAACACAAACACCATTTACAGTAGGTTGAACGTATAGTAGAATACAAGGAAATAATCTATGAAACACATAAAACCTGTTCAGTTATCAAAAAAAGGGAATATTAAACTGAAACCAAATTATATTGATCAAAAAAAAACTGAAACCAAATTATTTCCATTGAAATGTTTCTCAACTACTGTGACACTTAAAATGAAACATTCATGATTCAAAGTTCTCAACCAGATGTTACATTGACAGCATAAGAAATGCAGAAATGTCAATTGGAATATTTTTCAATTGAACCTCTTAAGTAACTTTAAGAACACTAGAGAGAGAGAGTGAGAGAAAGCTCAAGTTCAACAAGGGTTGAGCTTAGGCTGGCCAAATCAAGCTAGATTTGGCTTCACCCAACTCTTACTCACCTCATGAATTGATCTGACCAGGGTGATGTTAGGGCACAAAGTGGGGCAAGGCAAGTTACGATAAAAGATAGGAAAAGACTAGTAAGCCAAGAATAAATAATTAATAATGGACAAAAAAGAGAAGAAAAATATTGTGCAGATGAAAAAGAGATACAGAACTATGGTGTGATTGGGAAGAAAGGAATGTAAGATTTTTAGAAGATAAGGCAAGGGGATTGAGCATGTGATAAATATTTTTCTGCGAGTGTGGCACATTGAGTGAATACAAGGACCTCTTTGCACCATTTACAAATAATGGCATCACAAGAAACTAGAAAACAATGGCAGAACCATCTCTGAGCAGACCTACTGTAAGTGCTGAATGGAATCCGCCTCCACCAAACCTCAAACTCAATTTTGATGGATGCAAAATAGGCAGTCCAGGAGTTTCTGGTGCGGGAGGAGTTATCAGGAATAACAAACCATACAGGCTATGTTTTTTGGGGATTCAACAAGGGCCAAGCTGTGTACAGTGTGGCATGGGTTAAAAAGTAATTAATAAATTTAAAACAAACAAAAAATCAAAACTGCTAAACTGCAGGAATGCAATCATAGAAGGGGATTAGAGGGTTGTAAGTTGTAACAGGATGGCTGCAAAACAATCAAGAGGGATAGTGGAACTGTGGAAGTACAGGCATAAGCTACAGGAAATCAGAGCTCTGATGTAGGAATTGGAATCAAAGGTTGAATGGGTTTACAGATCTGAAAACAGCCCAGCAGATGGATTAGCAAAACAGGGAGCAGAAAGAGAGCAGATATTTTGGGGTCTAGTACCCTAAGGGGGGAATTATACCTGATGATCTCTTAGGTAGTTAGCTGAGGATAGCTACCTCTATACTTTACTGGTAATTACACTTATTTTCTTACCAATTAATAAAATCTTAACAGTTACTGATCAAAAATGTTTGGGCAACAGATAAAGAACCATTGATGTATGATAAACAATTACTAAAGGGCAATGCATAAAAAATGTTCTATATAGTAAATTATAAATCCCTAAATACAGGATAACAAAATATAGTCTTCTAGATTCCAAAAAAACTCGAGGTAGGAAATATAAAGCTCTAAAAGTGAGCAAGACAACTCAGTAGCAGAATATTGTTCTTAAGCTCCAGCATCTTAAATAGCTTTTTTCTTATCAGCACTTGTACAGCTTAAATTTCCTTGTACAAGATAAATGATATTCAATCCTTCGGACAATAAAGACATTATTGCTTAGGTAACAACCTCTTATCCAATATGACATAATAGACATGGTAAATCTCATTCTCCAACAGAAAAGACCAAAGATGATTTTAAATAAGCAAATAGAAGAAGTCTAACCTTGACAGCTGGACTCGTACCAGTTCGTGCATCCCATAGTATAAGACAAGAATCATCACCTACGCTACAAAATTCTTGTGCACTTCATATAATTAAGAAAATAAAGTTAGAGGCTGTATATCATACAAGGAAAAGTATGAATAAAATTACACAGTATAGCAAGCTAGCAATTGTTTGTAATGGGTAGGGAGAGAAATGGAGGTATTCCCCGATGTCAGTGGGGTTGGCAAAATGGAGGAAACAATGAGGGTATTGAATGCAAAACTAGTCAGCAGAGTTGTATGAGGTGAAATGGAGATAAAGAAAGTTGAAGCATGGGCAATACTAGAATGGGATAATGGGGGTGACAAAGCTGAATAGAGGTTTGTTGCTTGTCATGTTCCACAGTAGGCAGGGGCAGAGTGGATATTAGAATCTGAGAGATTAAAGAATATATATATAAGAGAGGCTGGTAGTTCCCAGCAGCAGGAGAGGTTTCCAAAGGTAGAAGAAGGGCCAATGTAGGTTGGGGTGGTTGGCATCCCACTACATGCGTAGAGTATCTTAACCTTTGAAGAAATTGGTAACCGATGTGGCAGATTTCTAAAGTACGATGATAAGAATAGATCCTAGGAGAAGCTGGATATGGCAAGAATCTTGATCGAGGTAGCAGATGTTTCTGTGATCCCAAACAAACTGAAATTCAAATTTGCAGGAGAAAGTTACAATTTGAGAGTTATAATTGAAGGAGAGGACTCAACATTCCTAAGGGCAGGGGAAGAGGGATCGAGGGGAGAGGAGGTAGAAGGCAAGGTGTTGGGGGAGGAGGAGGAGTAGGAGCTCGAGCTGGCAGAGGCCATTGGCTTCAGGCCAGAGGAGAGGGCGGAGGAAGACAGGGAGTCAAAGAGTCATAAGGAGGGAGAAGAGGGTGAGGTGGCAGCTTCGAAAATGAAAGAAGGTAACATGGAGGGTATAAGTTTAGGTGGATGCGTAAGAGAAGAGCATGTGGCAGGAGAGTTCTGCAACGCAGGAGAAGCCCAAAAGTCGGATGAAAAGGCAAGGGGAGATAAGAAACAAGCAATAGTAGGTAAATAAAATAAGCATAATAGGGGTGGGGACTTCTTTAAGAAACTGAAGGGGGTTTAAAGGAAGGAACCGGTTTAAAAAGTTTCAGGTTACAAGAGGTATTCTGGAAATTTTGAGGTCGGGATCGAAGGGATTGAGATTTGAGAACCCAGAAAGATAGAAGAAAAGAGGGGTGTGCATTTCGAAAGACGAATAGGTTTGGGGTGTGGCAGAATTTGAAGACAGAAGGAAGATTGTAACAGTAGAAGGTGGAGAAGCCAAGGATTTGGGGAAGGTGACCCTGCATAAAGAAGGCCAGCAGCTGGAAGGAGCTACAGAGTGTAAACTGTAAAGAGGAAGCAGTAACCCAATGGGAAGACGCCACTTCGAACAAGAGAAACCCAATGTCTGAGAATCAGATGATCAGGGCTCTGTAGACAGAGAACAGATCAGATGGAGATCAAGGTAGATCTAATCAGGGCCCTGTAGAAACAAGGGAGAGCATGGATAGGCTACTCTCTGGTTTGAGAACCCTTGAGATAGTTGCTTACTTGAACAACAAGGTGAATCAACTACCTTTGCTCCTTCAATTGTGCGGGAAGTTGTCAATAAGGAGAGGAGAGGAGAGCTAGAGGTGAGGAAGAGGAAGGAAGGAGAAGCAATCTGAAAAAAAAAATTGTGGCGACAGATAGAGGTGGGAAAATCTCTTGGCTTATTTTTTCCTTGTGGAGAGAGAGTAGTTAGAAGGGCAATTGAGCATTTAGAAAGGAGCAAGAGAGAAGAACAAAACAGGAATAAAGCTGTAGGGAAGGAGGGCGAGGTGAGGGAGGAAGGAGAAGGGAGCGAAGAGGGTTTCATAGAGGAAGAGTGAAGGGTGTCGACACAAGAATAGAGAGGGGAGAAGTGAAGCAGTTGACAAAGAGGTGCTGGTAGCTGATTCTTATGTGCAGAGGGGAGACAACAGTTGCTGGACCCCCTCTTTCAGAAGGGACTTTAATGATTGGGAGATTCAGCAAGTAGGAAATCTCCTAGCTCTGCTCCAAGAGCAGACTCTGAATTTGCAAAGTCAGGATTCAAGAGTGTGGACGTGGAACAAATCAGGAGAGTTCTCAGTTAAATCCTTCTACAGTTTTTAGTCAGAGAAAATCAAGTTCCTTTTCCTAGTCGGGCCATTTGGGGAGAAGTGGCACCCTCTAAAGTCAATTTTTTTGTTTGGGTGGCAGCTTTAGAGAAATGCCTCACAAAAGAGATGCTGCTGAAGAAAGGTTTTATGTGCAATGACTTGAGATGCAGCCTGTGCACTGTGGAATGGAATCAGTTAATCATTTGTTTCTACATTGCAAGTTTGTAACAATGATTTGGAACTATTTTCTAAAGAACTTAAAGGTAAGCTTGAGTATGCCGGCCTCAGTTAGAACATGCTTGGAGGCTTGGCATATATCTGGAATGACAAAGAAGGGGAAATTATGCTGGTCCTCAATTCTTTTGGCTATTTTATGGGCAGTTTGGGCTGAAAGGAACAGCAGGACTTTTGATCAGAAAGCCTCCTCGGAAGCTGAGGTCATTAACAGGGCTATAGAGCTTCTTAGGAGTCGGTTGTCTATACACACAGGTTTTAAAGAGGATATAACAGATTGTACTTTTTTGAGGGTGGCCTTTTCTTTAGGTCCTTTTGTTGCAGTTTTTGTACAGTTTCTCGTTGTACAAAGGACCAGTTGATCAATACAATTATACTTTACCTGTTCTCAAAAAAAGAATAGAGAGGGGAGAAGTGGGTGAAGCAGAAGCTGGAAATGAGATTGTTATCTTGGAATGTCAAGGGTCTGAGAGAAAGAAGAAGAGCCATCCAGCAATATGGATAGATTGGTGGCGGGTGTTGGTAAATCAGTTTCAGACTGGGTTTTGGTGTTGCCTGAATTTGTACAAGTCAGGAAAGATCTTGGGGACAGATTTTGGTAAGTAAGTGTTAGGAGTAAGCTTGTTATTTGGAAGACTGGTCATGATACGTCATTTCTTTTTTTTTTTCATGGTGCTACATTGTATCTAGGTGTAGCCTCAACACCTAATCAGTCTGTAACTTTTTTCTTTTAATAAAATTTTATTTTTACTATAAAAAATTGTTTGTCAGACAAGGGAAAAGATGAGAGAAGTTGCAAGGTTCCATCATACAGTTATCTCCGTCTATGGTAAGAGCTGTTAATACCACATGCAATAATAATTTCAATAGTGCTGTGTGGACTTAGACATGGGAGTTGGGATCTGACACATGTCTGAGAGTCTGACTTGGTGAACCCAAAAACAAAGTAGGATTCATGGACATGTGTCACGTGAATTATAATTTGCAGCATTATTTTTAAAATTCATAGAAATATATAAGCATAATAACTTACATAGTAAAATTATTTCTACAGTTGAGAAGTCACTTCACCACCATTTTTTACTAATCAAAAAAATTTAAAGTTAAATTCAAAGCCTTTGCCTATTTGATACATGGCTACACTAGTTGTTTTTCATTGTTTTCCTAATTTCAAAAGTCCAATAAACAATGGATTATAAGTTATGCATGAATTGGAAAAATTCAATTACTATAGTGCCCTATGGATAGTTCAAATAGTTGACCCACTGTTAGATAGAGGCATTTAAAGTAAGAGATTCATAATTTTGGAGAGTTAACATAGCAGAATTTATGGTAAATCAACCTGATCCACATCATAGCTAAGTCTGACAGATATTTTGGAGAGTTGAACACAAGCTGACTCACAAACATATATCAACTTGTGAGTTCCCCTTTAAAGGTGGGGTTTCCATGTAACCCTGAATTTCAAGCAATATTCCCTGAAATCGAACAGGATACTACTTCACAAAGAAAAAGGATATGATAACTGAACTTGTAAAGTGCCATATCATGAGAAATAGGAGAAATTCAACTCAATGCAGCATGGGGCCAGCTATACAAATCTTGTCCTGTCATTTTGTTACATAATGAACACCTATCATCTGACCCATCTAGTTCAGAGAAGGTTTGCTGACTTGACCTGGGCTGGGTATAATAGTAAGCACTATTCCGTCACCCATACAAATGCATTTGACAAGGTTCATAGCAACTACCTTGAAGGACAGAACTGCACATCTTCAACAGTATCCTCATGCCCTTGATAGATACCACGTGGTCCAATAGAAGGACTGTCTGTAGCTTTGTCAGTAGCAGCACTAGCCTTTGACGCACTTTTAATGCTTGAGCTCCCAGAACCTGGTGATTTTGTGTCTGCCGCTGAAGCAGTTATATGATCATGAATACTCCATAAAACAACTGATTTATCTTTTCCTGCCATATCAATTATATTTTTATTGTTAATGTCAAAAATAAAAGAATGGTATGTACATCAGTAAATGATAACGTTTTCGTTAGACTACAATGACCCTGCCATAACAATAATCCTGGTTGGAAATATATCAAAGGAAAAAAAAATGATGCATTTCTAACAGCACTAAGGGAAATAATCAATTAATGCAGTGCAGCATAGAGGACAAGGAAATAAATGGAACTTCAAGTATGTATTTTAAGAAAAAGTCATACAAGCAAATCAAAAAAAAAGGTGTCACAATGCATATACATTACAAAATTCCATCAGAAAGTAAATAAGAACAAGAATAACAACAAAAAAAAAAAACTACTCAAGATAATGGGTAAGCTAGTAACTAACAGTAACAGATTCCAGTCACATAAAATACTATAAGCAATAAACAATTCAATTTCATTATGAATATCACCAATTAACTGAAGCTTCCTTTTACCTATCTATGCAGTATTCAAATACTATAACAAAAAAAAAGGAAAAGAGAAGGCATTATATAATAATAATAACAACAACAACAACAACAATAATCATGAATATTTCATTTGCATGTCATGCAAAGGCAATGTCAAAAAGTATATACCGATTTCATAATTTATATAAGCAAAAGCACAAATCTCTCCAGCTAGAAGTTACAGATGCACATTGAGAAAGACTACCATTAGGCAAAATTTCCAACCTCCAGATAGAACAAAAGGTTCTGTTGGACACATGGCAAGCGCAAATTCTGCATTATCTTGATGCCCAGTTAATATCTGCAAGATAATGGGTTGTCATTCAGTAGAATGGCATGCATGACACTCTATGACCTACCTCTTGATGGCATAGGCTCAAAGTGGGAAATAAAAATAAAAAATGGAAGGCAAAGAAACTAAATATTGAGTTTAGCACAGACAGACCAAATCTGGACGAGAGTCAGCAGCTCCAAGTACAGCATGACGATTAGGCTGAGCCTCGACATCCCAAATGAGAACCTGTTTTACAAACCCAACCCACATTAGGCATCACTAATTTGGTAAAATTGGAAATAGTTGGTACCAAGATAATCTGTTCATTCAAGGACCACTTTCTATAATCTTAGAAATCCATGTAACCCAAGAGGCCAAGATTATGGGGTGCTTACATCAGGACTGTCAGTATGTGTGGCCACAATTTTACTGTTCTGTGGCAGCTCCCTGATTCTGTTGACCTGCAGAGTTGTAAAATAGAAAGAACAGATCCATTAAAGTAAAGGATATAGAAAACTAGGCACTTTGCAATAGATTGTAATGAAAATTTCAGATGCAATGGAAGAACATATCCTCCCTTTGCACAGAAAAGTAGATTGAAGAGGAGTTAGCCTTATCCCCTAGTCCCTACAAGACTATATGTGTATACTGTATCCTTTAATCCAGGTCTGACCTAAAAGAAAAATGAAAGGAACTTTCTTTTTGTTTTTACTTGGATGGACAACATAAAGGAATGCACCCTAAGAAGTGGAATAGTAGATAATGTTGACACCTAATAAATGGAACAGAAAACAGGAAAATGTAACAGAGATTCATACCTCTCCAGGATGTATAATGGTTTTAAACTTCTTTACAAAAGGAGAGCGTGCCTCCTCATTGAACTGTAAATAGCAATTAGGTTGACAGAAAGAGAATAATTATGTGATGTTATAAAGAATAAAAAAACACCTGCTAAACTTTGACAATGAAGGAAAAAGGAGAGAGGGTCTAGAAGAAAAGATCTTTTGTGTGTAGGTGGGTGGAGCTTGCTGTTAAGGCAGAAGAATCAAAACCACATAATGGAAGCATCACCTGCGATATGTGCTCTGCTGCAGCAACCCTTGGTTTTACAACTTCACAATTTGCCAATACAAGAGTGTTTGGAACACTACCATCAGTCTGAAATTTTTTTAATCCAAAAGCATATAGATCAAAAGAAGCATCCAATACCAGCATGACAAAAAAAGGCATGCATTAAATTACAACTTATTGTGCTTTTTCTTTTTACAGGAAGGGGTGTAGAAAGCTTGTGGACCCATTTTATAACAACACCAAAGAAAGTCTTGATCATATCAAATTAACACTCAGAGGGATCAACCGAATAAGTATAACAAAATAACCTGCACAACAGTTAAAGATGAAGGAGGTATTGTATTTGAACAAGGGTTTTAGCAATCAATGCCAGGATAAAGCATCCAACTTCAGCACACTAGTTGGGAAACTTTATCTTCTGGTGTATCTTTCAGCTATGCCAAAAATCGGGAGATGCACCCTGGCACATTGCCATGTTGTTATTTGCTAGCATTCCTCCTATTGAATATTCCATCTACAACTTTGTTTTCAACAACTTGCCATGGAATATAAGTAAAATAGCATTGTCATAACGTTTTCTTAAAACTACGAGCTTAAAGAACTATGAAACATAGTTTTGTTTCCAATAATCTACCATGTGATTCTATAATACACATGCCAAAGCAGATCCAACGCTGCAAGAACACAGCGGAGTCAAGAAGAATGAACTGTATGCAATTAAGACAAAAGCAGTGATCATGACAGTATGACTTGCCTGTTCAGACAGATAGAGACGTTGGCGATTCTTGTAAGTTGCCTGCTCTAGTTGTGGACCCCACCTATTAGATGAAAAACAAAAGATAACTGTTTGTTACACCAAAGATAAATGTCAAAGTGATCCTGCTGAGTACAGGAGTGGTAGTGCTTAGGTCCACGTTAAAAAAAAAAATCTAGACTTATGAGATGCCTAGGTTTCAAACTTTTCAAATAGTAAATATCAAAAGCCTTGGACTTATGGCACAATACATGAAGCCCAGCCGAGGTTGCAATTCTGAAAAAAACCCTCAGAGAGATGCATCAGCCGAAACCTACTTCTCATCAGTGGGATGTTAAGCAACGAATATGGATTCAGCAACTCCCTTCAGCCAGAGAAAAGGAGGAAAAGAGAAACAGTGCAAATCCCAACCCCCTAAAAATAGTAACACAAGAAAAATGCATTTTGGAAGCTCGAGAAAGATTATTAGCTTCTATACCACGCTAGTAAAGCGGCCAAAAAATAAGCATTGTATTGGCATTAAAAACCCTAGAATGGTTAAACAAGCTGGAAGTGAAACATGAAAAACCCTAGAAATAGGGAGTCGGAGTGATGGGGCGAGAGAAATACAAACCGGCATGAGAGAGAAGGCCAGACGAGGTTGTGGTTGGCGAGCCAGTCGTAGAGGACGGGAACCAGAGACTTCCATTGGGTGTACCTCTCGTCCACCGATGGCTGCCCCGATTTTCCCCTCTCCCTCATTTTCGTCACTGATTTCCTACGCTCTTCCCTCCTCTCTCTCCTCGTTTGTTTTTCCCGCTCCTTCTTCTCTCTCTTCGGTCCACAGCCTGACCAAAAATTGTGGGGGGTTTGTTTGTATTAAAGTGTTAAGAAGGGAAAGGGAGAGTGGTAAATGGTGTCAAGCAAAAAATGACGCAAGACGGCAAGAGCGGAGCAGTAGACTGTCCGGGCAATACCTGATTCGTCCGGTTCCGGTCCGAACTCTGGTTCAATCTGCGCTTCTGAGTCCGACTTCTGTCAGGGAAGGGTGCATACGCGCACGGCGCACCGTTCGCGCTGCATGAGGACGCTTCACGCGTCCTGCGCCTCGTGCGCGCTCTTCAAACGTGCGACTGTAGTAAATGCAGGGGTGTGTTCACGGGTCGATTGGATCAGTTTGAGTCAATTTTTTTCAATCGATCCGACCTAATCAGTTTACTTATTGATTAAACCGAAATCGATCGATCTTGGAGCAAAACCAACCCAAATATGAATGATCAGTTTAACGGTTTAGTCGGTTTATATATATATTAAACTAAAATATCTATTTATATTTAAGTTTTTTTTTGGTTTTATGCAAAATCAAAATATATATTTAAATCAATTAGTTTTTTATGCAAGACTGATTTTTTGTCAATATATATTTAAAGTTATACAAAACTGAATTAAATATTGTACCCTTGTATTATATCTGTATTGGTTTTATGTTTTTTAGTTTTTATCATAAATAACCAATTTTTTTTTCAAAGTCCAAACAAACACAAATAAAATATATCAACCTTTAACATATAGGGCAGGGACTAATTAATAATTACTTAAACATTTAAACATATAGGATCAGTTCAATTCAGTTTGGTTTCAGTTTCCATGTATGTATTAAAATCGAAATTGAACTGAGTTGTCGACTTGTTTTTTCATACAAACCAAAACCAACCAATGGTTTAAAAAAACAATCAACTCAAGTCGGGTAGGACCAGTTTGGTCAGTTTGACATTTAATGTGAACACTATTAGGAGTCATGTTTCTCTCACTCTCTTGCCACACCGAACCAAACCCTGTTTACGCTCACTCTCCCACTCTCTCCCTCTCCAACCGGCGACAACTAATAGCCATCACCGGTGACTGGGAACAAAAAAAACAGGCATTCCTCTATTTTCATTTTTGTTCTTCCCCAAATACACCATGCTCTGCATCTTTAACACCTATTGTATCCTTACCAACTCCTCACAACAAGTCTCCAATTCATCTGTGCAATAGATGGGCTTGCTCTTCTCCCAAGGATTTTTGTTCTTCAAGGAGTGTGATGTTCTCCTCTGTGTCAACTATCAGCTTTTGGGTTGTTGTGCTTACAACCAGAAACTCAACTCTAATGATGTGCTCCTCTGATTGTTGCCAGTATTCAATGAAACGGTCACGGATGATGCAGTGCATATGAATGCATCCAAATTGGTTAGGGTCATGGCAAAGATGCAATGTTTGGAGAAGAAAAAATGAAAAGAGAGGAATGCATTGGGTTTTTCTTTGGTTGCAAATGATGGTTGTTAGTCGTCGTCAATTGGAGGGTGAAAGAGTGGGTGCGAGCAGGGTTTAGTTCGGTATTAGCAAGAGAGTGAGAAGAATCTGGTGAGAACAGAGCCCCTAACAACATTTACTCCACTTGCACGCTTGAAGCACGTGCACAAGTCACATGACGTGTTGTCACGGTCTAACACAGGATTAGCCTTGTCCACGCTTGGAGGGCTTACGTTAAGGGACATCACCATCATTTTTGCCTGTAAGATTTTTGGGAGAATTGATGTTATCTTCAGGCAGACCTCCAAAAGCTTAACGTACTATTTTAGGAGGAGTGGTTGACCTCCTTGGGTGCCTAACCTTACACTCCTATACCAACATCCCTTGCGGGGCAGCCTTGGTTAATGGCTAGCATGGCTACCAGGGTTCCTCATGGGTGCACACATGCTCATGGGGAAAATGCATGGACCGGCTAGCCCCTTGCCTAAGCTGAATGAGCTATCCCGTTGCCCATAGCGCACGGGTGTGTTCCGGCCCTACGGTTGCCTATCATCATCGGCACATCAGGTGCCTACATCATCGACATACAGGAGTCCCTCTCATCGGTGCCCAATCGCCTCTCATCATGGTTGCCCCCCTTTAACACGTAAGAGGCGCCTCCCATGGACCGGCCAGAGCCAACAGAGTGCCCCAGCCATGCGAACGGAGGTCATGATCCAGTGCTACTAAACTTGGTGGAGCCATCACATCGGGCAACTCCTAGCCCCAAGCACACAAAAGGCTTGTCCTGGCCTGCTTTGGCCTAGACGCCGCACAGGTTTCTTCCGTTGCAGATCTACCCCCGTGACAGTTGGTATTAAAGCGAGCTAGCCAACTGCTACGACAGTTGGTATTAAAGCGAGCTAGCCAACTGCTACGACAGTTGGTATTAAAGCGAGCTAGCCAACTGCTACGACAGTTGGTATTAAAGCCAGTTGAAGCGGTCACCTCAACAAGTAGCATTTTGTGGGGTGCGGTCCCTAGGCACTTCCACCCGAGTTCAAGCAAGCATTCACATCAAGCCTGACAAGAGGCCATTCATCGTGTCCCCATTCCAATGACCCCGAAGCAGCGCTCATGCGGGGGCAGACACATTGGCCATCTCGTGGAAGGCATATTGTGGCGATTTGAGTGGGGGAGTGCCATGCTTTATCACGGACATCAGTTGCTATTCATTTTGGTGAGGTGTGGGCGGTGCGCCTACATCTCAGTTTCATGACAGATGGGCCATTGTTTCGTAGCTTGTCTGAGGCACTACTAAGGCAGGGACAGCAGTCCGAAATTGGTTTGTGTCGACGGTTGGTCAATGAATATCACTGAAGTGGTAGTTGTGCATCAAAAAAGGGTCATCGGTCGGTTGAAGCCACAATATTGGAATGATAGGAATGTGGGTACACTAGCCGTTGGAGCATGGCGGCCCTACACCGGCAAAGCATCGAAGGACATGCTCAGCTCAACACAAGGCAGAACACTTTTGGCAGCAACAATACATCACAAGGCAAGTGCATGTTCGACAACATCATGGGTAAAAGTTGCCACACTCGCGCACATTGCGGTCAGATCTCCTTGAGGAGGTAGCCCGAACCGGTGAGGTGAAGTGTAGTTTTGAAGGACAACAGAGCATAAGCCATGACTAGGTTTGAGTAACCCGCACACGACGAGGTGAAGTTCGCAGGCCATCATGGTGAAAGGGTACCCAACACACATCGCCAACAATAGGAGTAGACTTATCACATCGTGTTCGATAGCACCATTGAAAAGCAACCACGGAGACGGTCGAGCCTTAAGGTAAAGAGATACATGGGGCGGACCTCCACGAAGCACACACATTCAAATTTCTTCAAGGTCCCTTCTTTCACACATTCAACGGCATAACCATCGCGCGGTTTGAGTAACCTCAACACTGGGGGTGAAGTCTAGGCAGGTCGGCATGGTAAAATGGTTATGTCCCCATCAATGAACACAAACATAGGCGAGACTTGGGTTGGCCAGGCGAGCCCAGGAACTGGCACACAGGTGGATGGTGCAAGACACAGACGTCCGCTCACAAAGTAGCCATTGTCGAGGACGATAATGGTTTGAGTGGGGGAGCTTGTCACGGTTTGACACAAGCTTAGCCTTGCCTATGCTTGGTAGGCTTACGTTAAGGGACATCACCATCATTTTCGCCTGTAAGATTTTTGGGAGAATTGATGTTATCTTCAAGCAGACCTCCAAAAGCTTAACGTACTCTTTGAGGAAGGGGTAGTTGACCTCCTTGAGTGCCTAACCTTGGCACTCCTAGACCAACATCGCTTGCGGGGCGGCCCTGGTTAATGGCTACCAAGGTTCCTCATGGGCGCACATATGCTCATGGGGACAGTGCATGGACCGACACTATGCCAACGACACTCAATGGAGGCTTGGCATGCGGGCCTAGCCTAAGCATGACCCTTCACCACGTTAGCCCCTTGCCTAACCTGAATGAGTTATCCCGTTGCCCATAGCACATGGGTGTGTTCCAGCATTGTGGTTGCCTATCGTCATCGGCATACAGGAGTCCCTCTCATCGGTGCTCAGTCGGCTCTCATCATGGTCGTCTCCCTTTAGCACGTGAGAGGCGCCTCCCATGGACCGGCCAGAGCCAGCAAAGTGCCCCGGCCATGCAAACAGAGGTCATGATCCAGTGCTACTGAACTTGGTGGAACCATCACATTGGGTAACTCCTAGCCCCAGGCACACAAAAGGCTTGTCTTGGCCTGGAAGCCGCACGGGTTTCTTCCGCTGCGAATCTACCCCCGTAACATTGTGGTGCATCCTCATGCTACACGAACAGTGCGCGTATGCACCCTGCCCTGATATAAGTCGGACTATACGCTTCTTTGAAATAACCCTATTTATTAGGGCATGTTTTTTGTATTGAAATAAAATAATAAAAATAAATAAATGATAAATTGTCTAAAACTCATCACTTTTCAGCATTACACTTGAACTCGCCACAACTTTTCAAAACGTCCATGGAAAATAAGTTATTATTTTTCCAAAAACTCGCCATCTATTAGAGCACCATTAGTTTTCATTGGCAAAAGTTGTCCATATCAGTATAAATGCAAATTTTATGACCAAATTGCCCTTGAATGACAAGTTATCTAGGGGTGACCATGGGTCAGGCCCGGACTAGGCATAGCACTAATGATAAGGGCTTTAAGCTAGGCTTTGGCCCGACCTGACCCGCACCCCATGCCTAGATTATAAGCCCAAGCCCGACCCTACATGGGCCTAGGTCATGCTTACAAGCTTTCTAAACCTAACGAGTAAGGGCCCATGACATCAAATAATCAATTTTATTTTATTTAAAATTTTTAAATTAAATAATATATAAATGTAACACAAAATAATTACACAAGCTAAAGTTAAATTGGGTTTGGCTAGGCTCTAGGCCCATGGCACAAAAAACAAGGCATGAGCCTCATTTAATTGTTAAACTTGATTTGGCTTGGGTTACCTATCCTTTTATAGATGAAGGCAATGCCTTAATTCCCATTCTTAAGCAATGTAGAACATGAAAGGAACAACACTAAATACTTAGTGCA